TTCTACTTTTCCTTGTTCTTTACAAAGTTTTTGGTAAAACTGCATCCCTGGCACAAACACAGTGGAAATAAATCGTGATTAAGAAAAGAGGTGTCGGGGCTGGGAAGGTGGCTCAGTGGTAGAGAGCTGCTCTTGCATGCATGAGGCCCTGGGTTCAATTCCTCAGCACCACATAAGAAAAAAGCCGAAAGTGGTGCTGTGGCTCAAGTGGTAGAGTGCTAGCCTTGAGCTAAAGAGCTTAGGGGCAGTGCCCAAGCCCAGAGTTCAGGCTCCATGACCGGACCCCCCCAAAAAAGAAGAGAGGTGTCCAGAGGGGCCTTATATGGGGGTCGCTCTCTTCATCTTCAAACCTACCCACTCCACAGCCCCTGCTCTAGGAGAATTCCTCAACCTTCTCCCTCCCCAACTGGGGCAGGGGAGAACCGCAGGTCGTAGCCACAGTGACTGGCACAGCCCCAGAGGAATGAGAGGCCGAGGTGGCCCCAGCCTGGACCGAACAGCAAAGGCTCGTGCAAGGGTGGACTGGGCGGCTATGGCTTGCGTCTGGTTTGTGTGAGTCCCCTGGGAACTCAGGCCTCAGTGGCCCAAGACAGGACCTCTGAGGGGTGAACGCACTGCGAGCTGAGGCGGGCACTGGGGTCAGGCTGTGGGGTACATGCGTGGCTGTGACTCTGTGTTCTCCATGTGTGTCATCATGGGATGTGATCACTGCCCGCTGTGCTGTGACACGGCCCAGGCCCTCTCAGAACCAGAAGCCATCTGTGAACCAGCAGTCAGGCTCTCGGCCACTACCCTAGTACCTCAAAGAACTACTTTAAAAAACCAAGTGCCCCACCCCAGGCATTTCCCTACAGTGATGGAAATGGAACCCACACCCAACCTACACCAAGCTGGAGCCACTCCCGGATAGGAAGAGGACATTCCTGCAGCCCCACTGCTGGGGCGGCCGAGACCTGTCGGCAGTTGGCACGGCTGTGGGGAGGGGCGGGCTCCAGCTGCAGGAGGGAGGTGGGCACCAGATTGGCTGACAAATGGCAGGGCTGCTTTCCCTCTCCAGACCCTGATGACACGGCCACTTGCTAGCTGTGACCTGGGATAAGTCACGCGACACTTCCGTCTCTCCGTGTCCTAGGTACTCAGGTGCAGGACAGATGAGTCCTCAGTGAAACACTGCTGGTCCCCCTCTGTGCTCCAATCCACAGACCACAGGCCTCCGCCAGGGACGGGCCTAGGACATTTCAAGCCAGGCACCTGTGGCGCTTGCCTGTAATCCTAGCTATTCAGAGGGCTGAAATGTGAGTACAGAGGTTCAAAGCCAGCCCGGACAGGAAAGATGGCGAGACTCTTATCTCCAATTAACCAGTAAAAAGCCAGAAGTAGAGCTGTGGCCCAAGTGGTAGACTGCCAGCCTTGAGCAAAAATAAAAGCTCAAGGACAGCACACAGACGCCAAGTTCAAGTCCCAGACCAGCACACAAAAAAACCCACAAGTGAGGGGAAAACTGGGGGAGAGCGAGGGAAGAGTTAACATTGTCCAAAGAGAAGTGTACTCTTTATCTGACTATGTAACTAATCCCGCTGCACATCACAGTTACAATCACAGTTTTAACACTTAAAAAGACAACACACAAAAGGGCGGTTTAGTAAGCTCCTGACAATGCACATGTCCACTCGTCCGCTGGCCTGGCCTCCCTGCTCGGAGGCAGCCAGCCATCCCAGGAAGCCTTCCATTCCAGACCTGAAAGAAGGGCTGCTCAGCAGACCCTGTCCCAGGTGGATCCCTGTAGTAGACAGGCCAAGGCTTCAAATCCAGAGAGAAACTAAGGCCAGGCCCTGCCCAGCCTCACCCTGCCTGGCCAAGGCCCTAACCAGCCCTACCCTGCCCAGCTCAGGGGTCATGGTGCCCTGGCAGCTGCAGATCTAGCCTGCAAGATAACAGCTCCACCTCTCCAGCACTCACAGAATTCTACCCTGAAGAAGCTTCCCTCAACCCTACTGAGAACTGTACCCTGGGAGCAGGGAGAGAGGAGGAGAAGGGGGGATGTGAGGTGGGAAAAGAGAGAGAAAGACAGCTAGATACAGACAGCAAAGTGCTATGTCAGGCAAGGACAGTCATTACTATAGAGGTGTGTGTGTGTGTGTGTGTGTGTGTGTGTGTGTATGCGCACATGCAGGTACACACACGTGCACTGAGGTATGGAGCTCTGAACTCAGGGCCTTGAGCTCTTGCTTAGCTTTCATGGCTGGCACCCAGGTCCCTAGGCCTCGCTTTTTTTTTTTTTTTTTTAAATTGGAGATGGTCTCTCAAGGATTTGTCTGCCTGGGCTGGCCTTGAAATGCAATCCTCTGGATCTCATTCTCCTCCTGAGTAGCTAGGATGACAGGTGTGAGCCACTGGGGCCCAGACTCATTACTGTATTTGAAGTCATGAGCAGATGAGTCACTGGTAATTTTCAGTACTTTAAAAAGTTGATGTAGGCTGGGCACAGTGGCTCACACCTGTCATCCTAGCTACTCAGGAGGCTGAGATCTGAGGATCGGTTCAAAGCCAGCCCAGGCAGGAAAGTCCATGAGATTCTTATCTCCGATTAACCACTCAGAAAGCTGGAAGTGGCGCTATGCCTCAAGTGGCACTGTGCCTCAAGTAGTGCTTGCCTTGAGCTGAAGAGCTCAGGAACAGTACCCAGGACCAGAGTTCAAGCCCCATGACCAACAACAACAAAAAAGTTGGTGTAGAACATCAGTGATGTGTGCATTTTCCATAATAATTTGAACACACTTGCCCGAGTGTGCACACGCATGCATACACACACACACACACACACACACACACACACACAGTGACTGCTGAACGCAATGGCTGCAGCTTTCCTGAAACCACTTTGTAAACCACTGAAGCCTGGCCTGCACATTTAGGTACTCTGCAGTCAGTGACCCATCCTGAGCAGCAACCAGCTGGCCCCATGGCAAAGGGGGAGATGTCGTTGAGTGCCCTACACCCCGGCTCCTTTTCAACCTGGGCCTCACTGGAACCTCAGGACACTGGGGGAGGAGTGCCTTGGAAGACAACACCGCCAGCCCCTTCCCATGTAAGTGCCCTGGGGTACAGCCTTAACAGCAAGGCTATTCTCAGCTTCCCAGAGGATTCACCAGGCACCAGTACTAAGAATGTGTGTTTCCCCTCCTGCCACACCCCTCTCTCCCTGACTGCCCTCAGGGGAACACACCCGGCCTCTAATTCTCCACACTTGAAAGCTCCTCCCTTTTAGAGACCCAACAATCATTCACTTCAAGACAGTTTCAGGGGCTGGGAAAGTGGCTCAGTGGTAGAGGCTTGCCCAGCATGCATGAGGCCTTGGTTGGATTCCTCAGTACCACATAAGCAGAAAAAGCCAGAAGTGGCGTTGTAATTCGTGGTAGAGCGCTAGCCTTGAGCTGAAGAGCTGAGGGACAGTGCCCAGTCCCAGAGTTCAGGCCCCATGTTTCATAGCACTGGTGGCTCACAGCTGTCATCCCAGAGGCTGAGATCTGAGGATCATGGTTCAAAGTCAGCCTCAGCAGAAAAGTCGGTGAGACTATTCTCTCCAATGAACCACCAAAAAGCCAGAAGTGAGGCGGTGGCTAAAGTGGTAGAACATCAGCCTTGAGTGAAAAAGTTGAGTGCAGGAGGACCTAAGTTCAAGCCCCAGTACCAGCGCTTGCATGTACACACACACAAATGCTGTAGTGTCCTCCTGGCCCTGGTGGGCTGGAGCAGAGTGGGTACTAAGCACTCAGTGAGCAGAGGGGTCTGTGCACTCCATCCCAAAGTCAACAGTGCTAAGTGGCCCAAAAGAGCTGGGCAGGAAGTTGACACAATGTATCCCGCCAGAAGCTCATTCTAAAGGGCCCTTGACAAACCCGGGGCTGAGCTTTAACACACACATCCACTCACCTGTCCTGGACAAGCTCCTTAACCTCCTTCCTGCTCGGGGCAATCCACTTGAATCCCAGATCTGGGGCAGCTCCCAGGAACAGAAAGGAATCAACTTTCTCCTCCACAGTCCTTGCCTTCTCCGCAGGGCCCCTCTGGGCTGCATGACCCTCCACCCGCACACCGCAAAGGTTCCTCTTGGCAAGGCCCATTTCTTTCTTTTTTCTTTATGCTGCTCCTGGGGCTTGAACTCACAGCCTGGCCACTGTCCCTGAGCTTTTCTGTCCTAGGTTAGTGCTCTACCACTCTGAACCACAGCACTACTTCCAGTCTGGGGGTGACGAACTGGAGAGAAGGGTCTCACAGACTTTCCTGCCCAGATTGGCTTTGAACTGTGATCCTCAGATCTCAGCCTCCTGAGTAGCTAGGATGACAGGTGTGAGCCACTGGCGCCCGGCTGGTCCACTTCTTAAAAACAGTAACTTTCACTTCAGGTACTCTATCCTCTACAAAACTTGGCAATCAATACACAAATGACTTTGGCAATAAAGAGACAAGAACATCCTATTCTGTAGAACCACAAGAAAGACTGGAGGAAGACGCTGGGGCTTTACCCACTCCCTTCAGTCCTCCAAGGTGAGCATGGACCAAAAATAAAAATGCCTGATTGCTACGTAAGCTTTTTCTGTATTCAGTACCATTGTATGTGTTTCTTAAAAAGAACACACATGTTGGTTGTGTGTATGTTGGGACTGGAGCTTGAACACAATGCCTCACCCTCTCCCTTGACTTCTGCTCAGGTTGGTGCTCTACCATTTGAGTCAGAGCTCCAAGTGGAGTTGAGTCTCATGGACGTTCCTGCCAGGGCTTCCTTGGAACCTGGATCCTCAGATTTCAGCCTCTTGAGTAGCTACGATAACAGGCACTGAGATTACTGCACACCAGCTGGCGGTTTAAGTCGTAGTTTTTTTTTTTTTTTTTTCAGTCGTGGGTCTTGAACTCTGAGCCTGAACGCTGTCCCTCAGCTCTTTGGCTTAAGGCTAGCGCTCCACCACTTGAGCTACAGTGCCACTTCCGGTTTTCTGGTGGTTTATTGGACAAAGGAGTCTCATGGTCTTTCCTGCCCGGGCTGGCTTTGAACCGCCGCGATCCTCAGACATCAGCCTCCTGAGTAGCTAGGATTACAGGCGTGAGCCACCAGTGCCCGAAGCTGATATTCCCAACGACTCACTCGCACACCACAGGAAGGGACACAGAGGCAGTGGAGGCGAGGGCCCAGGGCCGCACAGGACACTGGGATTGCGCTGGGTCTCTAGGAATCCGAGGGCTTGATCATGCCGACAGGAGCTCGGCCCTATGGGCCTGTACTAGCAAGGGTGTGCCAACATGGACCACCTCAGCTCTGGTGGAAGAGGTCCCAGGGGAGCACTTTAATAGGAGCAAGCGCCTTGTCTGGGAACGGTTCTCAGAGGTGAGCTCGGAGACCTGTCAGGTTCAAGTTCACCCATGTTCAGTCTGGAGGTTGCTGGGGAGGTGCGACTGGGACCACGGAGACCAAATTAGTATTTAAGGGCGACGCCAGGATCCCAGCGTGCAGACCAAAGGCAAAAATACCATTCATTCATCTTTTCAAATCTTTTTTTGTATCTGAATCTCCAGCGGAACTTAAAATAGAGCCAGCCTTTAGATGATTAATGGTTGTTAAATTATTTAAGTGTGAGTACTGCACTGCCCTTCCATCCTCCTGCACCTGTGCTGCTGTGGGCCCACGCCACCCCAGACCCTGGGTTCTGCATATCTGGGCTGGCCCTACCTCCAACTGTGCCTCCTGTACACAGGGTGCTTCCTCCTGTACACAGGGCTGAGTGTGCAGGCCTCCATGCAAGCACCATCCTGAAAGCACATGAATGCCCTCACCCATGCACACCCTGGCTGTCCTTGCTGGCCCTGGAGTCCTGGGGCTTGCCCTCTAGGCTGGACACTGTACCTGGGTTTTTGTGCCAGCCTTAAGCTTCTGGCTTGTTTTGGTGGTTAATTGGAGATAGGAGTCGCACAGACTTTGCTGCCTGGACTGGCTTTGAACCGTGATCCTCAAATCTTAGTCTCCTGAATAGCTGGGATTATAGGCGTGAGCCATAGGCACCCAGCCTCCTTGATGTTTTTATTTATTTTTTATTTTTTGGGTCCGGTCATGGGGCCTGAACTCTGGGCCTGGGTGCTGTCCCTCAGCTCTTCAGCTCAAGTCTAGCCCTCTACCACTTGAGCCTCAGCACCACTTCCGGCTTTTTTCTTTTTGTTTATGTGGTGCTGAGGAATTGAACCCAGGGCCTCAGGCATGCAAGGCAAGCGCTCTACCACTTAGCCACCTTCCCAGTCCCTCCTTGATGTTTTTGACCAGATAAAGTCCTAGTTTTTTTCTTTTATAGGATTTCCAACATAGGATTATCCCAGTGGATCTGTTCCTTCCCTTCCTTTCTCTCTCTTTTCTGCAATAAGCCCTTCTCTTTTCACACACCTCATCCATCCCTTCTCTTCTCTTCTCACCAGAAAGTATCCAACTCCTCAGCATCTCTGCCCACAAACACTTACATCCATGGCTTAGCATCTCTCTTTACCACAAGCTTGAAGTGAGTTCCAGCAAAAGCTATCAGTCAAAAGCAATCAGGGCATTATCCCCTCTTCCATCTGACCCCCAGGAAGAGCTCCCCAAACCAGCTTCCTGCTCTCCTGGCTCTGCCCCTTCCCTGAATTCTCTCCAGAAAAGGCTGGGTCCCCAGGCCCTGGGGGGACTTCTGGTTGGAGGCAGCACCAGGCTCTGCCTCCAGCTTCTAGAGGAGAAAGAAATTAAAAGGCGGATTGCATTACTTGCCAGTCAATGCTTCTCTGTAATCACCCTGACCGCCGCCTCCTTCCTGTCTCGGAGATGGAGATGGGGTGGGCAGGCAGCCTCCGTCAGTCCCCTGGGCTTCCCGGACCCCGGGCACTG